CTGCCACAGTCTGTCACTGTGCCATTTTGCACAGTGATTTCAGACCTAACAAACTGGACCGTCTTAATATTTGGATGGTTGATGTTTAAACTGCTGTAGGCAGTGCTGCTACTGCTTCAGTAAGATGTTTTTTTCTACCCAAATAGATTAAATGATGCCTATGTGAAGTTAAAAAAGAAAAAGTGCATGGGCCAATTGCATTTTCTTTCTGTCACTTTCATTTTTTCTAGCTAAACCTAAAATACTATGCTTCCAGAAGTTTCTATTTTAAAGTCCAATTTTTCTGTGGTTACCTGTTGAATTTGTTACATTTCAAGGAAAGCTAGCACTCAATACTTTATATTACACTAATTAGATGAAAAATAACTCAGAACAAAAGGATCTCCAATAAGCATAATTGCGGGAAAGGGTGACATTTTCAGTTGTCACGCTAGCCAATCTCAGATTCAATCTCATTCAGCACCAGAGGATATTTTGTAGTCACTGCAATTACAGACAGCTTGCTTACATTCCCCTGTCATAATCCACAGACAAGCTTCACATCTATGGATAGTCACTATTATTTGTTAACTTAAAATAATGCTTAAAATAATGCTTAAACAGAAAACTTGCACCACATTTTGCCCTTTTTTCCCTTCCCAGCTAATTTTATCATTTTCTGGATATAATCTATTTTTATTAAATATGTAAATATTTTAGAACAAAACCATGAACTTTATCAGAGTCATTTTTTTTTTAAATGCAAGTCTTTTGCCTAAGTCCATTTGATGGTTGTCTTCAGATAAAGAATCAAGGTTGAAGTTCTGGCACTTGTATAAGAACATTCATTCCAGAGTGATTCTCAGTTACACAGTTTGATTTCTATAAACACTTCAGAATGGAATTTATCCTCCACTTCTATTTCTAGCTTATTTCACCGCTTCTCTCACTTACAAATGCCAAATATAGGGGCTTTGCTCATGTTCTTTCTTTTTTGGAGAATTCCTTCTCTTCAGGAGGCATACAATAGCTGGGAAAGTACTATCCTTTTCCTGTCTCAAATTGCTGTGTAGGTGACCATTCCCTTTGAACAACTCCTTATTTTCTTGAGTGGATAAGCTGATTCTTCTGGACAATTTGCATGTCAATCTATTACATTAAGTATGATAATTCTTGAAAAATGCTAGCTCTCGAAAGCTGTTGTAAATATGAGGCTTATTACATCTAGACTTTTTTTGGCATTTTGCAAATGTTCATTTTTGATTCATGAATAAGCTTGACCTGGAGGTTATTATTCTCCTCTGAAGTAACAGAGAGCTTCTTAAGAAACTTGAGAACAGAAAAGATGCCTCCTCCCTGTTCCTGTTCACTGTTGCTGTTCTCAAGTTCCTCATCCGCTAAACAACACTAAGCACACAAACCAAGTAAAGGGGTTCAGATGCTACTAATTAGCAGATATTTCACAATGACGGTTCAGAGTGCTAACAGATAACAGTTGCTGATGAACAAGTACCAACAGCAAGAACATGTATATAGATAGCAAAGACTATTCAAGTATCATGACGTCTGATAAAGTGAATACGTACTCTCAAAAACTGCCAACTGGTAGGCTGGAACACTGCTGGGTGTCTTTTGACACACGAATCGCTGATCATATGATGGATGGTTCTCATAACTATGATGAGATCAGTAAGATGCTGCTCATCTTCCCTTAGGTCATCATTACTTGACCGAATATGTCTTCATGAAGCTGAAGAATAAATGGCGCTTTTTTTTTTTTTTTTTAAAGCAGGACATCAAAGCAAGAGAATCAGAATCAGCACAGAACCTAATAGGAATAATGTTGGAGTTCACCCCCAGCTACATCAGAAACCTATTTCAAGGAAATGAACAGATGTTCATGGAATTAGGTTAACATGACATGCAACTTCTCTATATCTGGATCACTTTGGGGCAGTTCTTCCAAGCACTTACCCAAAGCTAACAGTGGATAACTCTTCAATATTGTATGGGTTCCACCTGAATGGGTAGTGCTCAAGAAGTAAAAAGAGTATCCTCTCTTTTTAGTAGCTATCTATCTTACTGCAAAGCACTTCAGTATTGTTAATAGCTGTTATGCATCATAGACAATACGACAGAAAGGCTCAAGAGTGATTAGATGACTTTCTTCCATTAAAAGGTCTATTTTCAACAAAGAATCCACCTGCTTCTTTTAAACTCCTGAAAACATTCTAGTGGAACAGAGATTAATCATATTCCTCTTAAATGAGAATACTGCCTAGGAGAGAGAAACATGAAATCCCTCCACCTCTGAAAATCAGATGACATACAGATAAACAGACAGGTACATAACCTGGAGGAACAATGAATAATCATCAAGTTGTAGGTAGAGATACGTGAAGAAAGTCAAGCAATGGGAAATGAGGCAGAATACAGAACAAATCCACTATTATCTACAGATCTGAAACATGCTTGATAGGTACCATTAACAGCTTCTAATGCAAACATGTCCAATTTGATTTTTTCTGTTATGAAAAAGAACTTAAAAGATCAGAGACCTGAAGGACCTACCTTATTAAGAGAAAGGAGAGAGCCAGTATAAACAGGACAAACTTACACACATGCCTGAAATAAATTGAGGATCCTACGGAGCTTGTTGAGTTGAGAATGGAGAAGCACAAAGAAGCCCTCAACTGTAGAATAAACCTGACTTAAAGGAGCAAGAAGGTGTGCGAGTCTTGCTTTACAGGTTAAGAAACAAAGGCAGACATCAGAGAAATGGTTTATTTGTGGTCACACAGCGAAGCACTGTCTGAGATGGATTTTGGCTCTGGATTTCCATGCGCAAATGCAACATGAAGCTCATCCATTGCTTCCATGCAAACACTTGTACACGGTTCCTCACGCTGCTGAGGCAGAGCATGGGTACTGATGTGCTTGTACCAATGCTGATGGCACGCAGTTCCACATGTCAGTGCCACAGACATAAAGGGCCTCGTTGCTGCTACAGGAAGTGTTAACACAAGCAGTGCGCACTTTGAGGCCCTGAGCATCATTAACAGTTTTTATCGATATTATGAAGTTCTGCAACAAAAATAATAGGATTTGTCAGGGGCTGTTATGAACCGCCCCTGCTGGATAAATACATAATACATGATGGCAAAGGTCTGATGGGACTTTAATCAATTGCCTTTCTGAGTCAAATAAATGTCACATTAGACGTAAGCCATGTTGCATTCTGTAGGGGCCTCTGCTCCCCTCGTCTCACAGGCCTGACACTGCCACGGGGAGCTATGCACGCGCATAGACTCCTACTTATTTGCAGCAAATATATCAGAGCACAACGGGAACAGCGTGCTGTAAATTACAGATTTGGGACACCTTATAATGAAAGGAGAAGGGGAACAGAAAGAAATATGGGGCCATCACTGGCATGAGAGGTCAGCTCAAATACATCTCTGTGGTAGCTGGCATTGTCATCCCACCTTTGGCAGTCACTGAAGCATAGCTCATGTTTGTGCCCATAGGGTAAGGGAGAAGCAAGTGTGCCATTTCTTTGTGCGTGTCAAAAGTACCAAGTCACCTTTAAATGTTAAACACACATAATTTAGGTTTTCTATCAGCAAAAGAAAGCTCTTTGTTTCAGCACACACCTGAAAAAAAATCAGAATATCCCTTTGCACTTCAGCATTCCTTTGAAGAAATTTCAACAACCAGAACTCGACTTGAACATAAATTTGCAGGTTTAATTCCTCTTCCAAATATGAAAGAGCTATTTTTCTTCCTGTGCTATGTTTTTCTTCTTTAATTCCAGGCAGCATATTAACAGCCATCTACTTTCCTCTCTGAGCAGGTTGTAGGAATGAATTTAAATTGTGAAATGGAGATCTGAGGTAACACAAAGTCCAGGCATATTTGGACATGAGGTTCTAATCCCAAATTAAAAAATCCTCATTGTTTTTGGCAATCACTAAATACAGCTTAAATACCTGAAAACAGTGCTTAACAGGCTGGCGGACTGGAAAACTTCGGTCTGTCTTTACTTAATTATAGTAAATATTATGATATGGTAGTGCTATATTTACCCTTATCTCACAACAAGAAGTTTCATTGTTATAATACAGTAGATTTCATTGCCAATATGTATTAAAGACTCTCAGCAAAGTGCAAACTTTTGTTCTAAGTACACAAAACCATCACATGGCTTAGAGCTTGGCAAATTAAAAAAGAAGGAAAAAGCAAACTCTCTCAAAAATTCAATCTCTTATTCCCCTCAAAGAAAACAACAACCAAAAAACCTCAAACCATTAAAATTTTAATTCTTCCTGTTCTAAGTCTTAATAATACAATTACGTGGATTTATGTAGTATTTTCTCCAACAAAGAAAGCCACCACCCTGACAAATTACGTAGCAGCAACCAAACCCCAGTGAATGAGAACAGGCAAGAAAAGACCCCTACATAACATTTTTCCAATAAACTACTAACAAGTTTTTAATTCTGATACTGTTAGGTGTCAAAGTGAATGCAATATATTTAATCTACCCAGATAAGAAGTGTAGATTACTACTAGATGGGAAGGTACACTGGAGTGGGATAAGGAAGGGCTCCTTGGCACCATGACAGTATCCATCAGGGATGGGTTGAAATGTTAGCTGACTGTTTCTTACACTTACCTAGCTCTTGCACAGCATGGATTACTATATACTATCAGAGTTCAACAGCATAATACCCTGTACAACAAATATATCCCCAAATTGATATGTACATACTCTCAGCCAAAAATGCACGTATCAATTCCAGATCAATCAATCACAGTGTTACTAAGCCTGAGTCCCAGAAGCTGATGCTGCATTGAAATTCTAGGCTACTGCATCAGTACAGCATCTCAGTACTGAATCTTGTGGCCATACGGAGCAACAGAGGAGTTCCCAAATGCTTTGTACTGATCTGAATGGAACTTGAACAAAATGTACAACTTTAATCAATAAAAGTATAAAATGTTTGGTAATAAATACTTACACAGGAGTCAGGAAAGGTTCCTTCAGAGGAAGGCCACAAATTGACTGTGAGTGATCTGTAAAGAAAAGGGAGAAAAAAAGGAAATGATGAAATTAAGTGATAATAAGCACTCTAAATGATACCAAAATAAAAGAGGGATTGAGGAGCCTCACAGATGGTAGCAGTTCCCACAGGAGAGAAAAAAAAAAAAAAAAAAAGTGTTTAAAAATTTTAAACTGCATAAATCTTGGAAGTTTTGAAATTACCTGACCCCAAAACTATATAGCTGAGAAAACTGGCAATGGCCACGGAGTTTTTCAGTCCTGGGATAATTCCAAGCCAGCAGAGACTAAATATCCTCTGGTGGCTGTTCAACAGCCTCCGTGAAATAGGCTTGTGGCTCCTATGGACAAATGCTCTTATCACAAAAACACTGCCAGATTTGAATGGCATCCTTCTTAGCAGCCATGCCAGATGATACAGGACTCTAAAACAGAACTCGTCTTCTTGATCCTGACCTTCACAGAAGAGGGGTTAGGCATATTATTAGGGCTGAGGATGCTTACATTACAGCTGATAGCTGCACAGGAAAATTGTGTTGTCTTAGTTCCTTCTGTCAACACAGTATCTTTTGGACTTGACAGATCTGTTACCCTGAGACCCCCAAGAAGAGAACGGATGCATCAAAACAGAAAGGCTAAAGGGATTACAAACTTTTGGTAGACGAAAGGTCTGGTTTCCAAAGCCTACAAAGGAATATCTAAGCTTTACTGCCAACAACTGTGCAAAACATATTAACACGGGATGAAGCAATGGACAAAATGAATCAAAGCCTAATGCTCTGAATTGTAACAAGAAGATACACTCCTATTTGACAAAGGCTACGAATCAGTCTGGTTCTGCCTTCCAAGCTGAAAGAAATTCCGGCAGTCAGAACAGACTGCATTCTCCAACAGATTGCTGAGCAGGATACCAGGAGCACAGTGCATAAAGACCATGGGATCCTTATGGTGCACTCTAGTACTTAAGTCAAGCCGTGGCCCTCGTCTATCGTCTCCTGCCAATTACAAGGAGATTAGCTCATTACTCAAAGCAATTAAAAATATTCACAGAAGTACAAACCTAAGTTGAGATAGTGAAGAAAAAGGAGGAGCTGTTACAGGAGAGAAAGAAGGAAGGCAAGTAGAAAATTTCTTTGGAGCTGTAGCTATTATTTGTGGGAATTATGGGCGTGTTAGAGATGAGTGCAAGAGAAAGCATGTATGCTTATCTCATGTTAGGTCATCCAGCAGTGGTGGTAGAAGAAATACAGCAAAGAACAGAGAGAATCATAAGAACTGCAAGGCAGCAAACAAGATGCTTATAGCATTTATTGGATAGGCCACCCAGAGAGGCCCTATTTGACTGCAAAATTTCTTTTTAAAGAAGAGAGGGAACTGATTATTCGCACACATATGAAAGACTTGCATGAGACAGATGAGAAGATGGATGCTGCCCACTGAAAAGCTGAAGTGCCCCAAGATGGAATAAGATAGACATGGTCAGCATGGGGGAGAGCACATCACTGTTATTTTTCAAAAATCCATAACTGATGAAAATTAACAGGGAAATTCTGGTGGAAAAAACCCTGCTTTGCTAAGCATGCATCCCTTATTTGCCTTTTAGAATGCTCCAGGAGATTTAAGCATTAAACCCACAGATACAACTGTATGAAAAGGACTGCAGTGGCTGGTAGCTGGGAATTAATTTTTTCAGGGTTTTGGGCAGCTGGGACAGTGAGCTGCACCATGGAAGAACCTTAGACAAGAGGTCTGAGCCAAAGAATGTGCCTTGGAGTCCCAGAGCAAAAAAGAAAAAAAAAAAAAAAAAAAAGAAAATAGAAAAAAAAATAATAAGAAAAAGTGGGAGGCATCCAGCATGGGAAAAAAAAACAGAATGGAAAATTTCAGCCCAGTGGTTAGACTTTGGCTGTATTATAAGCGATATAAAACAAGTTCTCTTAAGGAAAAGCGTCAAGCAACTTTAAAAACAAGGATGCCAAAGAATTCTACAAATTATGGCCTGAGACTCTGGAGGTGCTGAGTAATGACTTACACCAACATTACCATAGATTTTGCTGTAAGGAATGAACAAGACTGTCATACCCAATTAAAACTGTAGGGTAAGCCTGGACAAGCAGAACATACTGGAATCTGCAAACCAGAATCTGGCAAATCACCAGAACTGAAACACCATAACTTTTTAAATGATCGTAATTGGTTTAGATACTTGATTACAAGTTTTATTTTAAAAAATATATTAAAAAACCCCAAAACTTTCCATGTAAAGTACTTGAAAAACAAAATGTGTCTGAGGAAACTATGTTTCGTTCCAGGTTAGATAACTGTAGCACACGTATGCTGGAGATAAGTGGGCCAAATTCTCTTCTCAGTGCCCCGTGCAATCTTTCAGACTTAATTGAAACCATGAGCAGAACCTGAACCATTAAAATGCTGGGTTGAAACTTTTCATCATACGACACTGTTTGTCACAAGAGACATACTTAACCTAATTACATTATATTAACACAGTGGATTTCTTCAATGTATACTATTGCATAATACATAAAAAATGAAGTATGAGAAAGCTATTTTTCTTAGTTCTTTGTACTATAGGCAGAATAAGTACCGGTCTCTCTGCCATTTGTTTTCCACCCAGTATTGCTCTATTTCATGGGGTAGACAAAAGGAATCCACTGATCTTTTTCATATTCAATTCCTAGTGTTAATTAATCATTATTACTTGGAAGCTGTTTTGGCCATTGGACAGGATAGCCAGCGGCTAATCTTAAATCTGATCTTGATTCATTGTGGGCAGATTCTGCCCACTTTCTCAGCTGTGTGAATATATGCCATTTAAATCACAAAGGCAAAAAGACAAGTAAGACATAAACCTTAAGGATACTTAGGAATCTCTCAAGGATTTTAATAAGAATTAGTCTCCTAAATGCTGAAGAATTTCTACTTATGGATAGTTAGATGGTAAAATCCAGTCATATTAGTTATGCTATGTAAGCAGGTAATTGATTTATGAATCTAAATATAATTTTCAAGGAGACTTAGGCGTTCATGTCAAATTTTAGTGGAAGTTGGTAAAATTTTGGCTGTAAACCACCTGAGGACTTGAAATTTTTTAACCTTTGTTAGCACAAGTACCACTTACTTTCAAGGGAATTAACATCTGAGCTGCCAGAGTTCTTTCTGAAATTCGAATCTAGTTGCTTCTAACAATTTATTCACTAAACGGCTTCAGTTAGCCATCAGAACAGCAATTCTGCTCCATTTGTGAAAACGATTCAGGATCTCTCAGACGTAACACTACCAAGATGAGAAATGTTATTCATTCAACAGCTTTATAAATTATGGACCACTTCAAACAGGAAGAACAGCAGATGGATTCAGATAATTCCAACCGGAGTGTTTTTACCTCAAAACAATTTCACTCTTTACCAATACGGAAGTGGCAAAGGGGAGAGCTTTATCACACGCCACCTACCAAGCATACTGAATCTAAGACGCAGAGTCTGGCCATACCTCTCCTCTTGGAGGCACTTTACCTTCTCTGTATATGAACTACAATTCAGTCCCAGTGGTGGATGAAGACAATAATTTAGTTAGTACAGAACCCCTCAGTTCAAAGGAGGCCAAACTGAAGCAGTGCTGTGCTGCAAAAGAACAGTGGAATGGGAGACTTCCATCTGAAATTCAGTGGAGCCCTGAAAACGATCTGAGGGGGCAGAGAGGCTACACTGCATCTCTGACAAAGCAGACAGATTACAACAAAATTAAATTGAGGATTTCAGTGGATATAATTGTTGTTTTTATATATTAATGAGCAACAATAATATGTGATTCTAAACTGAATACCAGGTTTGACATTTTAATCTGAGCACTCATGCTATCCATAAATGTTCATAAACGTCACAAGACCCATACCCTTTGATTGAATTACAATCCAGTATGCAATTTAGGAAACATGGATTAATCTACATAGATTTATATTTCTGCAGGTTACATTGTTATTTGTTGATTTATATCCTTTTCCCCTAAGTGTCCTTTTCGCTGGGAACACAAGAAAATACATGCAAATTTTAATAGGAGAGCAAAGGGGAGCAGCTCAAAATCCAGTGAATAGCAGCAGATGGAAACTTGGTTCAGTGAAACCCACGCTAATTATCGTTTGCTTTTTGAAGTCACCTTTGCTAATGGCCAGAAAAATCTTAGTCCCTGTGATATCTCCTATTACCTCCACATTAACTCATGCTATAGCCAACAATCACCTTGGCAGTGCTGTACAATTAAATCACCTTTCAGTCATCTTGCTGAGGAATCCAGAAATGCAAATTGCTTTAGTATTAGAATTAATTATAAAAATATACAGGAAGGCAGTTAAATGTTACCATAGCATACAGCTCTGGTGTCCACAGCACAAGAAAGACATGACAGTATTGGAGTGTGTCCAGAGGAAGCCACAAGGATGATTGGAGGACTAGAGAATCTCCCTCCAAGAAAGGCTAACGGAGCTGGTCTTGTTCAGCCTAGAGAAGAGGCTCTCTCAGGGGAGATTCACAGTGGTCTTTCAAAACTTAAAGGAGCATATAGGAAAGATTTTTACTAGGGTCTGTAGCGACAGGAAAAGGTTTAATGGTTTTAAACAAAAAGAGGGTAGATGATACAGATTACATTTTAGGAACAAATTCTTTACTCATAGTGTGGTGGCACACGCGGTGCAGAAAAGCTGTGGATGCCCATCTCTGGAGGTATTCAAGGGCAGTTTGGATGTGTCTTTAAGCAACCTGGATGAGCAGGAAGTGTCTCTGCCCACTGCAGGAGGTTGAATCTAAATGGTATTTAAGGTTCCTTCCAACGCAAACCATTCTTTCATACTATGATACCAGACAGATGAGAACACTTCAGCCTCAGACAGCACATGAGGCAGGGAACCTCATCAGCCAAAGTTACATGGCAACATATGGAGGAACTTCAACTATTTTTTTTTTAATATATTCGTGCTTCTTGAGGTGATGCCTATTTTAAC